ATATCAAGATCGGTACTTTTGAAGTGTCTTAGGACGAGACAAGGCCATTGCGAAATCTTCCAGAGGACCTGAGCGGTCGAAGCGGCCCGCTCATTACCTGTTGCACTAGAAATCACGCGGAAAATGTTGTCGCTCTGATTTGATGGGCATTTTTGTTTTCTAGCTCTGGGTGCTTTTCCGGCTGCTTCGTGGGAATGTAGGAATCGGGGTGCTCGGAGCTCCCGGCTCGTTGGTCCAGTTACTGCTATGCTGGGACTATCAGAAATACCACTACCGCTTCTACACTTACGAACAATACTATGTGCTCTTCTTTCTTCTCTTCTTCTCCGCTTCTACTACTGCTGCTGCTGCTACTACCACCACTACTGCCACCATTACCACGACCGCCATATCCACTACCGCTGCTTCTTCTGTGTCCTCCTTGTGCTCATCCGACGACAGCGAAGGCTAATACGACTGCTGCTAAGCTGCTACTACATCACTAGGGGTATGGTCCCCCTTCAGTAGATAGAATATGGGGTATATGGGATCCTATTATCATATACCCAAAGCCATATTCTATCTACTTAAGGGGGACTGTACCATAATGACCTTTCCTTCATGCACAGCTAAACAGCAACTTTGCGGATGCAGGCAAGAGGTCCTGGAAGTTGTGCACCTCAGCTGCAGCAGTGGCAAGTGGAGGCGGTTATGATTGATAGCATCACAGCTCATGGCAAGCACAAGTAGATACAGGTACTTGGAGGGTCAGGGGGACTTAGTAACTAGGTTAGTAACCCCTATAACCCAAATAGTAACCCTAGCTAGCCTAGTTATTAACCTACTTACTAAGTTCCCCCTGATCCTCCAAGTATCCTGTTTGACTACAAGTTTCAGTATCATTGTTCACCTCATTGGTTTCACTGTCCTTTGCAGGCGGAGGGCAGCAGGGCAAGATATAAGCCAACGCTTCATGAGTGAACTTGTTCTTCGACAGGTCGAGCACGCCTTGGTTGGCAGATGAGCTGTACCCAGAGAGCCCAATGTAGTTTGATTTAGGAATATACGGTAAATTATACTAGGACCCTTGGTATGATTTAAGGTATATTCCCTCGTTTAGCCATATTGAGCTCCATTGGTATAGTCTCCCAAAATCGACAATGCCTAAAACCCCTATGCAGCCGCCTAAAAAATATGCATGTATATGCAGGTATATATTCTATGGGGTTTCAGGATATACTAACCCAAGAATGAAGAATCGGATGGAAAAGAACAAGCAAACTTAAATCTGTAAACTGTGGTTGTATAATGGTTTATAGGATTGGGGGTTCCCGAACTTAGGGGTACCGTTTTGGGTGTCCCCACAATGAGGATTAAAGCATATTGGCATCTATGTTGGGGGTCCCCCAGTTTATGGGAACTACCATATGAGCTGTAGTCTGAACTCTTAGTATCCTTCTTAATAAGCCCTCTAATCGTCCCCTATACAACCCGTTTAAGGAATTTAGACTACGGCTCACATCAAATCCAGCTCTGTGTCGAATCCCAGATAGGTCCTGCTTGTGCAAACCCAAGTCCTCAGGAGCTGGGTCATTCGTCAAGCAAGGAAAAGGATGTAATTGCGTGAGTTCCAAATTTATTGGTGATATGCCTGAACGTTAATGTGTAAAAAGCTGACTCAATTTCATATCTTTTTGGGTTGCTCAAAATTCCAGGTCTGGAAATCGATCGTGGCCACTGCACGTGGACACAAGAAGCGGACGTGTTCAATGATGTAGGATGTCTAGCTGTCTATCACACTTTTCCAACAGGCTTTCTGAGTCCGCCCGGTAGCAGGAGCACTAAGCACCACCGAAGCTGCTTTTAAAGCAACCCCAGAAGCTTGACCCTAGATACTATCTGACAAGACACCACCTGTCTGTCACACTAAACCCTCTAAGCCCTAAACCACAAAACCCTAAATACTCTTTGTGGCACTTGGCTTCCTAGAACCATGGGTCCACCGAGGGGGTCTGGGGTGGAAGGGGTTATATGGGGTTTCAAAGGTGTTTGAATTATCCAGGGCAAGCAAGGCGCCCAAAAACTTCACATCCTGTAGCTACAAGACTTTGCATAACAGCCCATGTAACTCCAATAGTTACTATTATAAAATAGTTGTTTCCATTTTCTTTTCCATTATCCCAATACTACCCCAATATACTATAATAGTTTCCATTTTTCCAATATCCCTGTAGCTCTGTCCTTCTGTTCATCCCTAAACCCTAAACCCTACACCCTATAGTAGTTTCCATTTTTCCATTATCCCTGTAGCTGGGTTCCTTGCAGGCATGGCTGGCACCTACGCTTTGAGGGTCCTGTTAGGGCTTAAGAAGCTACCAGCATCATTTTAAGCTCTAGTCTAAACTCCTTAAGGGGGGTTATATAGGGTATTATACTAGGGGACTACCATAGGGGTTGTTAAGGGGGGATACTAGGAGTTTAGACTATGGCTCATTTTAAGCCGTATTTGAAGTACCGGATCCCTTACGGAATGCATAATGCTGGTAGTTATTTTGGCTTCCACATTTGTATATCCCTCAACCCTATGTACCCCTATATGCCATACATCCCTAGAATTGTTCCTAAACGAAAGAAGCCCTTGCCGCATCATCCAAGGGTCAGTCACATTTTTGTCGGTGAGATTCCTGGGTGGTTCATAAACCCAGCGAGCCCAATGTCGCCTAATCAAGGAACATAATCAATATAATCGTCGGGGTCCTAGTAAAATCTAATGTATTTTTCCGCAATTAAGCTAGATTGGGCTAACTGGGAAGGTGTTAAACAAAATCATCATCTTTCGACGTTCGCTTAAGCGTTCAGAAAGCAAGAGAAAGCAGGCCTAAACGATGTGCCACAAATCTGGGATTCTTGTCACTAACTAAGGACCCCAGAACACGTCCCCCTCAAGAAACCCTAGACCCTATATGTCCTAAACCCAATGCCCTAAATCCCAACCCTAAACCACGCCCTAAACCAGCAATACTAGACGGACCCAGGTTCAGCTGGCAAGACAGCGTTCGATTGGCAGCTGGTAAGGTACCGACGGGGTCGCGCATGGTTCTCTTTAAGCCACTCTGGCTGCACGGCTCAGAAAATCCAAGAGTTCTTGTTCCTCAGCCCCCCCAAAACTAGGATACTCGTATACTCGTAAGATACCTCTATGGTTCAAATTTTGGAGATTGGGGGCACCAAAGTCCACTGTTTGCAGAGTGTACATGAGCATCCACAAGTCTAACCTCTTCCCTTCCGTTTCGGGGTTTAGGGTGCGCGGTCTTTGGCAGCAGTGAACATTGCCCATAGCCGTTCTTCAACGGATAGCACCGAATGCACTGACATCACGTAGGAAAGTCATAGCAAGGTACATTTATCTTTCCTATATCCCCACTGTTTCATCTTGATAAGTAGTATAGCAGCGTTCAGTCATTGGGATCACAACTCGTTTTCCCGAGCGCCAATTTCCCGAAATGGATTACCCTCAACGCAGGAAAGGATTTCTGGCAGCACTGACCCAGCCTCAGTACTCTTCTTGGAGGCTCTATTATTGACTAAGTAACTTTACTGAGTGAATAACGGTGCCGGGGCTCAAAACAGACGCTACTAGGCTTACTGAGTCAAAAGCGCCTCCAAGTAGTCTGAAGCCCCCCCTCCTAAATATTCTGAGAATAGTACCCATATTAACTGGACGAACAATTACAAGTAGAGGGGTGGGGGAATGTAGTACGAGGGGAGGGCAGTATAGGGCAAAGAAAACGAAGACGACATGGAAGGTGAGTTCATGTCGGGTTGTATGCGAAAACTACCAATGCTCGGGTCCTAGATTCGTTGTCGAGCTATGCTTACGTTATCTCAAGTAGACCTCAAAATAATATTGGCATGTCTTCAGGATTCTGCATTGCACTCCCCATGAAATCCCGTTAGAGCATCCCAATTGTCATTTCATCTTCGGTTTCATTTTTCATTTGACTCTCCACTACTCGGTGACGTGGCCATGTAGTCCCGTGTGACTATGTGTCCCTATGTCCTGTGAAAGCACTTCGATACTTGAAAGCTCTTTAAGTTTGTAAGTCCTCATACTAGCCCTAACCGCCCGTACTGTAAGCCCCAACACAGCCTCACTGAGTCAAGGGAGACTCGAGCATTGAGGCTTCTCCATACTTAAGGACACGTAACCCTAAACCCTAAAACCTAACCCTTAAAAGAAATTATGGGCAATTCACCCAGCCTGCTGCTTCCAGCAAGCAAGCCAGGAAGTGGCGCAGCGTTTGCCTGACGGCATGCTTCTGGCGATAAGGGATCCTTTCACATGTGAGCTAAAGCCATTTTTCTAAATTGCAAGAGCCTTAAACCCTAAACCCTAACCCTAAACCCGGAACTCTAAACCCTCATCCCTAACCCCTAGACCCCAAGCCCTCTCATAGCCATAAGATCTGGGTAGCGTCAAGGCAGAAATCTGATCGCACCCCCCCCTACATCGCTGAAAGTTAGCAGTCATGCATGAGCAATCTGGAAATTTCCCAAAGTTGGGACATCCCTTTTGGGGGGCCCCTTCCTGAGCATTTTGGGGCATATAGGGGGACCCATCTTTCTGTCCCATCTGGGCCTCGAGTGCTTGAAGCGATTCACTGCTGGGGCCAGCCTGAGAGGCACCAGCAGATATCGGCCTCGCAACAATAAAGCTAGGCTTACGCCTCGTTCGTATCATGAAGGCTGGAAAGGATTCAAGGAACCAGGTGCAAACAAAGTCATGCTGATTTCGTGTGACAGCTAGCATGGCACAGCACCTGCGTGCCCACAAGATGAAACAAGATTCACCGGCTTCTTTGCACACGCAGTCGACATAAGATGTGCCGCGCGCTGCGCGGAAGCTAAGGAGCACCTGTCTGAGTATGGAGGACATAGACTTACTGTAACGTTGTGTATCTCGTCAAGGAACCCTCAAACTAAACGTTCTTCCCAAGGAGTGGCCCAGGCACCGGTGTGTGTCAACATCGCTCGGCTCGCCAGTCGTGGCTTGAACGTCTCCTTTGGTATCGGCCGGATGGCCAACCTGATAGCCGCAGGAAACGGCTCTCCTCCTCACAGAAATGGGATTGTCCCACCTTACCTGGGCCAAAGAACACCCATGGCAACTTGGTCCTGGCCTCAGTTTTGGCCAAGACCTCATTCTGCAAGGAAAACTCCACTACCTTGGCTCCTTGCCGCCGCCAGCTCTTGCCAGGCCCTCCAAGCGTTAAGGCAATGCCCTGCGGACCCAAAACCTTCTTCACAAAATCCTGGGTTGCTGTTCAGAAACTTAAATTAAGCTAATTACTACAATAAGGAAACCCCATTTTTTACTACATACCCACATCATGGAACTCAATTTAAGTTCCTTAACAGCAACCCAGAATCGTCATAGCCATCTATCTCCTCATGCACGTCCACTTGCACCAAGAGGTCTGCTTCGAAGCGTCGATCCTCCGCTACCGCCGCAGCATATGAGGCCAGGCTAGCAAAAGAGTAGACAGACATGTCCTGGGCGAACCATGAGGAGAACTGTGTCAAAGCACGCTCAGTCTCGTCTGCGAACACTCCATCTACACTTGCGCTGTCCACAGCATAGTCCCACACCTGTATCTTCCGCATTTCGCCGCAGAAGGTGCTGCCAGAGGCTCCGGATTTGCCAACATACAGATGCTTTCGCTCCAGCCTCTTTGGAGGATGGCCCTGCTGCGACACTGCCAGCTGTCCGTCTATGTAGATGCGCATCATGCCGGTCGCGCTGACGGTGAAAAGATAGAGGTGTGGCTGGCCAGCTATCCAGGAACCTCCAGCAGCAACCATTTCAACCTCCTCGCCGCTTCCGCGGCGAACGCTGAATACCAAAGTGCCCGGCTCCTGTGGATTCACACTCGCGCTCGGCAGAACATCCACAAAGATGTTGTCTTGCTCCTCCCCATGCCCATCAAAATTGCCAAAGTCAAAGAGACGAGATCCGTGGCATGAGGCACCCTCGAAAGTAATGACTGCTGAGAAGGAGAATTCTGGACCCAATGGGGCGCTGAAGCCCAGCTGGCACAAGTCAAACCCGCCTTCTTCAGGGGTGAACCTGCGACCCTCACATGCCACAGCCTCGGTTGCTCTTACGGAACATAAATTAAGTTGCCATACTACGGGTATATAATAAATAATAGGGTTTCCTTCTTATAGTAACCCTAAGCCCTAAACCCTAAATAGTAGTTTCCATTTTCCCGTTATCCCAATATAACCCGATTATACTATGGAGTAGTTTCCATTTTCTTTTCCGTTATCCCAATACAACCCCATTCTACTATGGAGTAGTTTCCATTTTCTTTTCCATTATCCCAATAAAACCCCACTCTATAGTAGCTTCCATTTTCTGTTCCATTATCCCAATATAACACCAATATACTATATAGCGGTTTCCATTGTCTTTTCTATTAACTCAATATAACCCCAATATACTACGTGGTTTCCATTTTCTTTTCCATTAACCCAATATAGCCCCAATATACTAGATAGTAGTTTCCATTTTCTTTTCCATTATCCTAGTTTCCGTTTTCTTTTCCATTAATCCAATATAACACCAATATGATGTATAGTAGTTTCCAGTTTCTTTTCCATTAGCCCAACTTAAACCTAACAAAATCAAACACTAAACCCTATATACCCCTATTATCATAGCTTATAAATAATAGGGTTTCCTCATTACAGTAGCTCTAAACACTTAACCCTATATACCCTTGTTATAATCACTTAATCTAAGTCTAAGTTCCTTAATAGCAGCCCAGCAGCTGGGGCGGCGGTGCGGAGCTCCACAAACACAGCTCGGCAGGGCTGCAACTCTACAGCCGCAGCTCTCAGCTTCTCCTGGGCTTAAATTGGGTGTTTGTTTGGGGTCTAGGGTTTAGGGGTTTTGGGCTTTAGGGTTTAGTGTTTAGGGGTTTAGGATTTAGGGTGGTATATGGGTGGGTGTCAAAATTATGGTCCCTTTTTGGGTACCTTAAGTATTAGGTGCCGTATTATAATAGGGATCCAGAAAGGGACCATAATTTTGACAACCACCCATATAGGGTTTGGGGTCTAAGGTTTTAAGTTTAGGGTTTGAGGTTTAGGGTCAGGGATACCACAGTATCCGTATATAGTAAAGAGTGGGGTTTCCTTATTATGGTAACTTAATTTCAAGTTCCTTAACAGCAACCCAGTCTCCAGGATCATCCAATCTTGGGCCAGCAGCCCAGAACCCACGGACACGTAGGTTTTGATCCCACGATTTTCAGGCTGAGTCAGAAGTTGCAGCGACTGCTGAACCACCGCCTCTTCGATAGCCGCACGGACTTCCGGGTACTTGGGCCTGTAAGTGGGACAGTTCACATCACCGCATTCTCCCAAAGTGCAGATTGGGCATGGTGCCCCGCTGGGCAGCTCAAAAGGGAATGGCATCTGCCAGCCCGAGAAGTCGTTCTCATAATGCTTTTGCCTTTGCAGAAGAGTCCTCACCTCCCTGCGAACTTCAGCAGTCAAAGGAGGGCCGCGGTGTGTCCAGCGTCTTCCACCAGGTGCGCGTATTTCTGGAGGGTCGAGCCACGGATTCGCAGCTTGGCCTTGTTCTGAGTATCGTTGCTTGGGGAGGCCTGCTGACCGAGCCCTTCGTTTCACACCACCGGAGCCACTGGTGGCGCCAGAGCTGGTGCTGCTGACACCAGGTACCGCTGGTGAGAAAACTTGTGGTGGCCCGGCTGGCTGAGCCATCCCAGGAGACAAATGACTTCTTAAAACTTCAGGTGCTGCAAGTGTCTGCGTGTGGCCACGCAATATACTTGTTAAAGTGTCAGCCATGGTAAGTACTTGTGTTCATGCCCTCGCTTGCTCGGTGTTTCTTGCAGTATCTTGCAGTTATCGGTAGCTCCTGCACTGGAAAAATTTCAGGGGTCATTCGAGCTGCACAGGCTCTAACATGCTAGACCCTGAGCCAACAGTGACAAACATCCCGGCAGACCTGTTTACTACCATCTGACACTTCGCTGAGCTGCTAAAAAGGTCAGTGGCCCTGATGTCATCTCCGCACTTCTGCACAGCTACCAACAAAACCGGGCGCAACAATCCTGGGTCACATTATGGGGTTATATGTTAAGGATCTTATCCCAATAACGGAGGATCGAATGAGAAAGAACATGGGAATTGAAATCGGCTCTGTTTTATGTGGGCTGGCTAGCAAGGGATGGATCCTTGTAGCAAGCAAGGGGTGGATCCTTGTAGCAGCCTCTTTATAACCCTACTTGCAAAGTAGTTTCCATGTTTGGGTCCATTCCTTCATTCCCGACTGACCAGGTTAGCTAGATGACCCTTATGTAACCCCAGTTGCCATGTTGTTTTCCAATTCCTTTTCCATTTCATTCTCCATTATTGGAATAACATCCCTATACTCCCTCTAGTTTCCCAAAATGAGGGGACCCCAATATGACCCCCAAATACTATAGCCCCTATTATAAGGACCCCCAAAATGGTACCCCTAATTTTGGGAAACCCTAAATCCTATATAATCCCCTACATAATCCCAGTTTCCATTTCATTTTCCATTGTCTTTTCCATTTGATTCTCCATTATAGTAGGTACACCTATATATATCTATCTATCCTTTCGTACCCCTAATTTTGGGAAACCACTAAACCCTAAATGGTAGTTTCCATTTTCTTTTCCACTATCCCTACATAAACCCTATAAACTACCCTATATACCCCCAGTTTCCATTTCATTTTCCATTTAGTCCTGGAAGCCCCCAAATCATTCTAAACCCTAAACCCTAAATAGCAGTTTCCATTTTCTTTTCCATTATACATATTTAACCCCTAATTTTGGAAAACTCCCATATAGTGCCTGTATAACCCTTTCAGAAGTCAAAGCAAGCTCAGCACCTCGAAGGAGGTTCTGAGATGAGCTCCAAGCCTGAGTGATCATGCTCGGGTCCCTTTAGGTTGCAGGGTTTTAGGGTTTTAGGGTTTAAGGCTTTAAGGTTTAGAGTTTAGGGCTTCAGGGTTTTAGGGTTTAAGGCTTTAAGGTTTAGAGTTTAGGGCTTCAGGGTTTTAGGGTTTAGAGTTTATGGGCTCAGGGATTTCAGGTTTAAGGGTTGAGGGTACTTCTAACCCAATTATAAGCGGCACTGATACCCCCCTCACTCCTACCCCCCATTGTAAGCCCTCGAATGTCCTAAACATGTTGGAATTGGGGGTATAATGAAGTACTACCTTGAGCCCCTGAAGCGCTTTGTCTATGCAAAGGAACGTGCCAACGGAAGTTACACTCCCCCAAACTAACATGGAAACCCATACAGCCCCCCTTTAAAAGGACTGTAGTCTTTATAGGGCCCTTTTTGGGTTTCCATGTTAGTTTCCGGGAGGGTAATCTCACACAAAATGAGCAAGGCCCCGAACAGACGCAATGCTGATGCTGTTTTTTTGATCTGAATCAAGCCCTGGCAAGGAGCCTCCGCTGAACAAAGAACGCGCCCTCTTCCAAATAAACCCCATGCTATGCATAAGCCATGAATACAAGTGAGGGTAAGGGGTAACCACTATATAACTCCCATATGGCCCCTAAATAACCCTTATATACACACTAGTGGAGTTGTCTCGAGATCAAGGCCCCCTCCAGCCCCAAATACTCGAAGGCTGGCATCTCAAAACATGGGGACATGTGCCTTTAAGACGCACCTACGGCGTGGAACCAATTGAAGGCTCATCACCTTACGTTGGGTAAGAACAACCCCGCTTGAAACAATTTAACTTCCAACTACGGTGGATACTAAAAATCGTGCATGACTCTAAGTGCCTCATACCTTGGGAATTATGGTACTATAGTACTTTGAAATGTTAAGGTCACGCAAGACTTTCAATATCAACAGCAGGCAGGCAGTTTCCTTGGGGAACCCGGCCCCACGAGCCAGTGTCGCTGCACAGCGAAGATTCCGGGAACTGGCCACTGGCTGGCTTTCCAATTTCTGGTGCCTACCTGGGACCTTATATTCCTACAATATTCTTGGGGTTCCGTGTTTGAGGATCCCATTTTATTCCCTGTATACTTTTCATTTTTGGGAAATTTGCTTGGGGGAATGAATCTCGCCTGCTGGATGAATGTGCATCTAGGTGCGGACACACCATCTATGCTGTTCAGCAGGTACAGTGCCTACACCAACTCACACTACCGTCAGCACACTTGCTGATGCTATCCAAAACCTGAAAGCCGAGATTAGGACAATTGCACACCATCACCACCATCCCAACGTACCCTGTGTAGCCGCATTACTACTACTGTTTCTGCTAGTGCTATTAGTGCTCTTTTACTATTGTTGTTACAGTCATTATTAATATTCGTGTTATTGCCTTATTAGATCCAGTTCATCCCAGGGCTTCACTTATCCAAGCCCGGCTGAGAATGCAAATCTCCCTAGTGCTTGGGGTTTAGGGTTTGGGGATATTCCCCTCAAAAAATAACTGGAGAATCAGCTGGAAAATATGATGGCAAATCAACTGGACACTAGATTTATGCAGGGATTTATGAAGGAGATGAATGCCGCTTGATTACGGAGCATGCCTTACACCACATCAAGGATCCTCATTTAATTTAGCCGTACATTCCTCAATAGAGCGGCACTGGGCCTCTGGGGTTACACCTCTCTACGAACATATGAGCTATAGTCTAAACTCCTAGTATCCCCCTTAATAACCCCTATAGTAGTCCCCTATATAATCCCTTGTCTAACCCCCTTTAAGGAGTTTAGACTATAGCTCATATGCGCAACAGTGACTCAGCTCACGGTCGGATTCAGCAAACGGCAAAGCACCAGTCATGCCAAAAATCGCTACATCCATTCATGGGCCTTGGTAGCTTCTGCTTATTGGCCGTTTGGCTGGGCAGAGTCTTGCGAAGTATATCTGGCAAAGGTACTGTCCAAGCATATGGAAGTCATATAACTAAAAGTTGCTTCTTGTCAAAGTCTTTGCTCCCTTTCGGGAGTCCGAGTTGAACACCGTTGCCAAATTTTTAGACATCGGACATCGCTAAGAAGCCATCTGTCGAGGTTCAACAAAATTCTGGGCACCACTGTACGCTACCGGCCACAACCTCCCTAAACCCTAATCCCTTTTTCTGAACCCCCAACGGGACCATGGCGAACCCTCAAGTAATCTGTGAAAGCCGGCCGTCCATGGGGGATCTTGCCAAGACAGCGAGCTCAAGAAGAAGCTGTTCATGCCTGCCAAGACTAGGGACCATGTCTGTTGGGCTTGTGGAACCTACATACCCCCGTATACCCCAAATATCCGTACATACTCTAAACCTTAAACCCCTATATCTCCCTACATACCCCTACATCCCACTGATAATGATAATGCATGTACGTCAGCCATGCTGCATAGGAATCCTGAAAGGCTATGGCTTTCCCTCAGGTGTATAGTCTTTGAGATTTTGAATGGGCTTTAAGGTTACGGTTTAATGATTAATTGGTAGGGTTTAGGGTCCGGGTTTAGGGATCAAGGTTTAGGGAATAGTTTTTAGGGTTGAGGGATTAGGGTTTTGGGATTAAGGATTTTGGCCTCGAGTTCGTCATGAAGTAGGTACCCTAGGGACAATGAATGCGAGACCTGCATGTTGCTTCCTACATCCTTTATAAAAAAAATTGGAATATGACCAACCGTCTGAGTGTAGATAAATGTGATCATCCGGTGCCTTCCACGCACCTGTCACAAGCTTGAAGCCCACATGGCTATGTGCGAGTGCTCGGGGGCTAGCGTGTTGAATACTTCCTTTAATGCATCCTTTACGAGCTCACTTAACTGTGTTCTTAGGAGAGACACCCTTGCGCTTGTACCTGAAACACGTAATGCATATGAAGCCACGACATCCTAAACCCCATGAACCTTGAACTGTTTGCCAAACATGTGCTCAGGCCACGAGCTTGCAAAGCTGCAGCGAAGCACACTGGTTTAGGGTTTAGGGTTGTGGTAGTTTCCCAAAATGGAGGGACTCCGCTACAGACCCCAAGATACTCTAGTCCTTACTTTGGGACCCCCAAAAAACGGTACCCATAATTCTGGGAAACCCTCATGCAGGAAGCTCTAGGAGTGATGGGTTCCTTTTCGGGGGTCTCTGATCAAGATTAAAGTATTTTGGTGGTAGCCAAGGGCGCCTCCTGATTTTCTGGGTACCGTTTTGGGGGTTTTCATCGTCATAAGGATTGTAGCATTTTGGGGTTTATACTGGGGTCCCCCTGTTTCGGGAAACGTCCATAAGGGGCCCCACATTTTCTGGACGCTAATTACCATGTAGCGGTCCAAATATTTGAAGAACAGTTAGGGGTAAATGAGGAGCAAGTGTACAAGGAAACGGCATTGTGCCAGCAATTTCGGGGCTTGCACAGTTGGCTTTCACGTGTAGCACCATCCGCGGTGAACCTCCACTACTCCAGCAATAGCAGCCAGCAACAGCTGTACAGCGGTTATATATCGGTTATATAGGAATAATGGAGAGTTAAATGAAAAAATGGAAAATTAAATGGAAACTAATTACGGTGGAGGTTCTACAAAGCATTGAACGTTGATCTGCAATCATCCGCTCGGCTCCTGCTCTTTTCAAGTGCCGGGACCCTTTTGCTGACCGTTTTTCCACAAGTGTGGAAGACCCTACGAATCAAGCACGAATCTCGCAGCAATTGGGCTCCCAAAAGGGAAGTAGCCTTGCGCGCAGCTCTCACAAGC